ACTTTTACCAGCTTATCTTCTAAAAAGAGTTCATTTGAAAGTGCTTCTTTTAATAAATCTTCAAAATTTCCGGACTCTTTAATACCAACCACTGCTGATTTTACTAAAGATATGCCATTTTCATAGGCTGTTACAAACAAATACAACATTTGATGTATATAATTTCCAAAAAAAGTATCATCAGTTCTGCAGTTTTATTTACTGATACTACACGAAAGAAAAAGAAAATTTTATCGAACAAAGAAAAAAGAAAAAGAAAATACAATTTGTTCACATGTTAATAATATAAATTAAGTGTTGATACAAGTGGTCGATTGTGATACAATATCGCAAACTTAACGTTACAATCATTACATATAATAAAATAACGTGACTTTATATATGTGTTTAAAATTTAATATGTACAAAATTTTACCCCCGCCCCCCTCTATTTTTTTCATGTCATGTGATGTTAAACGAAACTATTTGTTGGAGCGGCCTAATTAGTATTTGTTAGAACTTAATATTAAATATTAACTTTTAAAGGAAGAAAATTTTTTTTCACAACGCCAATGTCACGTGATTTGTCAAAGCAATTTCAGCTAGCGTCATTGTTACCACCGGTTTTTGACGTTTGAAATATAAGGATCGGTTGATAAATGAAAGGGTAATATAACGATGTATGACAAGTGATAAGGTAAAAGTGTTTTTCTAGAAGAAACTCAGACACGTGATCATTTTTTCTGAAAAATTTTTTATAGTTTTAATAATTTTACAGTAGTGTTTAACCTTGCAAAAAACGCAAAATAAAGCCACATCTGACGCGTGTACAATGTAAACTCCTTTTTTACAATAATAAAACATGCGATTTTTTTTATTTTATTCTTTTTCCTTGAGTTTTTTTTTACATATATGGTACGGTTTTTACAAAATATAATAAGATTTGCCAATTATGGTGTTTGTGTATTTATTGCCAATTGACTGCGAAACGTTAAATTTCACCCCGATTAACGTAAATTGAACACACAAACAATATACCAAATTTAACAATCCGTAATAAGACATGCTAATGTTACCCCCGGTTTCTAATGTTTAGTTAGGTAGTAGCAAGATAATATGACGTTAAATACAGTATTAAGTGGTGAAGTAAATCGGGTAATGTGTACACAAATAATGAGCAATCGGTAAATGAACAATGAAGTTATTAAAACGTGTATATATTAATTTTTTTATAATTGGAATTAAATCGTATATAGATAATTAAACGAAATGTAACAAAAGGTCAATAAAAGATAATGAACACTGTGATAAAATAAACGAATTGTAAGAAATCGGAAACAAATCGGCAGGGTTTATTAACTAACAAATACTGTACAATATTACTGCCTCTGTAATATTCGTATATATATTTCTATCGACTAATGGACAAATTTACCATCCGGCCAATTTTGCCTGTTTAAGCCTCTTTGATCTTAGCCACCATCTCTAAGCCTCCGATTTCAGTCTATACGCCCAATAACTATAAGAATAAACTAAACTAAATATAACTAAATATAACCTAAAACTATAATATCCTATAATAACCTATACCTATATATAATAAAAAAATATTTTGTAACACTAACATGCTACACGTTAACGATTCGAAAATTTACTACAGTATACAGCTATATTTATATAAATGATACCAAAAATTTACCGGTACGATAGTAAAACATGCTTACATCTACTCGTTACTAAGCAATAATTTCAGAAATAAAAAAATAGGTAAACAAATGTATATATTATATAATATATATGAATAAACTATGAAAGTTATATTATTATCATTATAACTTACACTGATTAACCATTTTTTTAATTTAAATGTTCAATTCATTCGATTAAAAACTTAATAAAGTTGTATTAAAATTTAGCATAACTTCGTAAAGTCTATAATTTCTACTGAATTACTATCAACATTATCGTATTTCGAAAGGCTTTTTGTAAAGGAGTTAAGTAATCGAGATGTATAAATAGCTTGTGGATGAGTATTTGACTGAATAACTTCAATTGATAAGGGATTTGCTTTTCTGTATCCTTCTGCTTCTTTCAATTGCTTTCCAATTTCATTATGTTTGGAATCATTAAATAACTCCATTAATTCAAATATTTCATTTATATTTGGTCTATTATCTGGATTTGAATCCCAACATCTCTTCATTAAATCAATATAACATATTGGTGCTTCTGGCTCATTTATTTCGGGTCTAACTCCTTCGCATATGCTTATCACTAAATATTGATCATGTGCACGATTGTAAAAAGGTTGTTTTCCAGTGGCTATAAAATACATAAACATGCCAAGACTATATATATCTGCTGCTTGAGTATATTTCTCTCCTTTTAATACTTCTGGAGCTACATAAGGCATAACTCCAAAAATTTTTGTTTCATCTATATCATCAACTTTTCCACATAATCCCATATCTGAAATACATGGCCAATATTCATTCTTAACTAATACATTTCCAGTATGAAAATCACGATGAACCATCTGTTTTTGATGAATTTCTTTGAGACCTCTAATAGTATTCCATAATGAAAGTAATTTATATGACCAATTAAATTTATTATGATTTTTAGTCATCCACTTATTAAAATCTCCACCTTCTATATAATCAAGAACCATAATATATTCTTTAGAATCTGGATTTTGGGATATCCCATAAAAATTTAGAATATAAATAGATTTTTTCATTGAATGCACCTTAGCCTATAAAAAATAAATTATTTGTTAAAAAATATATATAATTTAATTACTGCCAGAAAAATCCATACCTCATGTAAAAGTTCATTGGTGATATTTTGTGAGTTATGTAAACATTTTAAGGCAACTTTTTTGTTTGCTCCACTTTTTCTTATCCATTTCTTTTCATTATTATTATAATATAATGGACCATCCTTCCATATTGCTGAATATACTGTAGCAAAACCTCCTTTACCTATTTCTTTAATATCATTAAACTGATCATAAGATATCCATTCAAATGTATTGTTAAAATAACTATTATTTAATTGTGCCTTTTTAATAATATCATCAATTGTTTCATTTCTACTTGTCCAACTTGTTAAACTTTTTAGATGGTCTATTTTACACGGATTATACCAACTATGTAATGCTTCCATATATTTTTCACCACATTTTTTACAATATTCAGCTTGAATTACAATATAACCATTTATATTTGGATCTTGAGATATTCCATATAAAATATTATACTATCAAACAAAAAAGAAATTAATATATTGAAAGTGCTTATTTTATAGAAATTTTTATATCTCATACCTCATTATAAAATTCTTCTATAATATCTTGTAAATTATGTAGATATTTTAAAATAACTTTCATATTGACACTCCTTTTTCTTGTCCATCCCATTACATTATCATAATAATGTAATGGACCATCCTTCCATATTGCTGAATATATTTTAGTGTTATTATCATAAATTTCTTTGAAATAACTAAACTGATTATATGGTATCCATTCAAATACTATATCTTTATAAGAATCGATTTTTAATTGTATTTCTAGAATAAACTGATCAATAACTTCATTTCCACTTGTCCAATTTGTGGAATTACTTTTTAAATAGTTTAATTGGCATGGTTTACACCATTTATGATTTATATCTGTATATTTTTTATCACAGTTTTCACAATATTCACCATTGACTTCAAGAACCATGATGTAGTCTTTCGTATGCGGATTTTGAGATATTCCATATATTTTACAAATATCATCTTGATTTTTAATTGAATATGCATTAACCTATTAAACAAACAAAATTGTTATTAAAAGGATCTTTAAATCTAATAAATAGAGAAATTCATACCTTGTTTGTTAATAATTTATATGTGATATATTGTGAGTTATTAGTACACAAAAATTTCAAAGTAACTTTTTTATTCTGGCTTACTTTCTGATAATTTAGGATATTCTCATTATACCATAATAGGTTACCTTTCCATATTGCTGAATGAACTACCACATAACCATTTTTTCCAATTTCTTTAATATTATAAAACTGATAATATGGTATCCATTCAAATACTGTATCATCATAAGATTCAATTTTTAATTGCATTACTTGAATATACTGATCAATTTTTTCATTACCACTCGTCCAGCTTGCGAAATTTCTTTTTAAATAATTTAATTGACATGGTTTACACCATTTATGATTTATATCCGTGTATTTTTTATCACATTTTTCACAATATTCACCATTGATTTCAAGAACGATAATGTAGTCTTTCGTATGCGGATTTTGAGATATTCCATATATTTTACAAATATCATCTTGATTTTTAATTGAATATGCATTAACCTATTAAACAAACTAAATTGTTATTAAAAGGATCTTTAAATCTAATGAATAGAAAAATTTCATACCTTATCTAAGAACTCATCAGTTTGCGAGTTACGAAAACATTTTAAAGTGACATTTGTATTTTTGTCACCATCATAACATAATTGATCATATTTCCATATTGCTGAATATATTGTGATATGTCCATACTCACTTATTTCTTTAATATCATCAAACTGGTTGTATGGCATCCATTCAAATACTGTATCATCATAGGAATCAATTTTTAATTGTATTTCTTGAATAAACCGATCAATTTTTTCATTGCCACTCGTCCAGCTTGTGAAATTTCTTTTTAAATAATTTAATTGACATGGTTTACACCATTTATGATTTATATCTGTAAATTTTTTGTCACATTTTTCACAAAATTTACCATTAGTTTCAAGAACCATGATGTAATCTTTCGTATCTGGATTTTGAGATATTCCATATATATTACGAATTTCATCTTGACGTTTAATTGAATATGCATTAACCTAGTATTAAACAAACCAAAATTGTTATTAAAAAGTTCTTTTAAATTTAGTAATAAAGAAATTTCATACCTTAGATAGTTTTATATAGTAACCTATAAATGTATATTGTGGATTACATAAGCGTTTTAAAGCGACATTTTTATTCTGGTTTTCTTGATTATTCATTTTTTCATTATAACATAATAAATCACCCGTCCATATTGCTGAATACACTGCATCATTACTTATTTTTTTGATATTACTAAATTGACTATAAGATATCCATTCAAATACTATATCATAATAGGAATCAATTTTTAACTGCATGTTTTGAATAAATTGGTCAATTTTTTTATTTCCACTTGTCCAGTTTGTGAAATTTCTTTTTAAATAATTTATTTGGCACAGTTTACACCATTTATTAAATGTATCTGTATATTTTTTATCACATTTTTCACAATATCCATCTTCAAGAACCATAATATAATCTTTCGTCTGCGGATTTTGAGATATTCCAAATATTTTACGAATATTATTTCGATTATTAATTGAATATGCATTAACCTATTAAAACAAACCAAAATATTATTAAATATTTCTTCAAATTTAATTAATAAAAATTACATACCTCATTTTGTAATTTGTGGGTCGTATATCGTAAATTACATAAAAATTTCAAAGTAACTTTTTTATTATAGCTTTCCTTCTGGTTATATTGTATATGTATATTTTCATTATAATGTAATAAACCACCTCTCCATATTGCTGAATGCACTGTAATATAACCATACTCCCCAATTTTTTCAATATTATAAAATTTATCATATGGTATCCATTCAAATACTATATCATCATAAGATTTAATTTTTAATTGCATTTCTTGAATAAACTGATCAATATTTTCATTTCCACTTGTCCAATTTGTGAAATTGCTTTTTAAATAACTTATTTGACATGATTTATACCATTTATGAATTGCATCATGTTTTTCATCACATTTTTCACAGTATCCATCTTCAAGAACCATAATATAATCTTTCGTATCCGGATTTTGAGATATTCCATATATTTTACGAGTATCATCTTGTTGTTTAATTGAATATGCATTAACCTATTAAACAAACCAAATTGTTATTGAAAAGATCTTCAAAATTTAATGAATAGAGAAATTTCATACCTTATCTGAGAATTTATCGGTTTGCGAGTTACGAAAATGTTTTAAAATAACTTTTTTATACTGATTTTTTTTCTGGTTATTTAGGATATTCTTATTATACCAGCATAATAGGCTACCTTCCCAGGTTGCTGAATGCACTTCCACATAACCATCTTTTCCAATTTCTTCAATATAATAAAATTGGTAATATGGTATCCATTCAAATACTATATCATCATTATAAGATTCAATTTTTAATTGCATTTCTTGAATAATTTGATCAATATTTTCATTTCCACTTGTCCAGCTTGTGAAATTTCTTTTTAAATAATTTATTTGACATGATTTATACCATTTGTGATTTGCATCATGTTTTTTATCACATTTTTCACAATATCCATCTTCAAGAACCATGATATAATCTTTCGTATCTGGATTTTGAGATATTCCATATATTTTACGAGTGTCATCTTGACGTTTAATCGAATATGTATTAACCTAGTATTATTAAACAAACCAAAAATTGTTATTATAAAATCTTTAAATTTAATGAATAAAAAGTTTCATACCTTATTTAGGAACTTATTAGTGATAATTTGCGAGTCATATAAACATTTTAATATGACATTTTTATTTCTGCAAAATTGGTATCTCGTATATCCAATTTTATGTTCATCATAATATAATGGACTATTATGCCATATTGCTGAATATACCGTGATATAACCATCTCCACTGATTTCTTCAATATTATTAAAATGACTGTATGGTATCCATTCAAATACTATATCATAGTAAGAATTAACCTTTAATTGCATTTCTTTAATGAACTCATCAATTTTTTCATTACCGTTGATTATGATATAGTTTTTAAGAGAATTTATTTGACATGACCTACACCATTTAACCACTTTATCTGTATATTCGTTACCACATCTTTTACATTGGAGTGACATTTTACTACATATATTGATACTGCACTATCTATATACTGTATATATTTATATATTGAAAAAATTTAAAATACCATCAGATACAAAAAAAATTAAAGAGGTTAATATGAAAACAACGCTTCCCGCCGTTAAGGTTTGTTTTTAAACACTAATTCAGATGTGATCGACATATACAAAAGGTGCCAATCGTTTTACCATATTTTGATTTAACAATCAACTGCTTAATTAGTCTGGGGTGTAACGAAGGACTATATAATATCGTGCAACCAATAAGATCAAATGCGAAGTCTTTGTCGCATGGCGTTTCGCATATTTGCACAACGTAAATATTTGCTTACAAGAACGCCGAGCTTTATACAAGCAATCATGGTTGATGATTGGTTAATTCAAATTAAAGTCCATTGAATTATGATATAATCACAGGCCCCTGAAACACTTGTCATACACTTAAGGTCTTGAGGCCTTATTCGTAAGGAATTTTATATCGTACTGATGTTGACTTTTGATGAACACAGTTCTGGTTTGTAGCCGATCATTTCTGCTGTTGAGTGTCAAACTATCACTTAATATAAAATAAAAAAATCTCTGATTGATTCTATAAAAAAGAAAATGTACTGTTCATTGCTATTTCTAACATTTATTATATTATATGATATTTGTATATAATAAAAAAAATTGGTTTTAATTTTTTTTCAAGCAGGCTCATTCTTGAATAATGAAAACTCCTGTATGAGTAATGAAAGGTAACATTACTTTGAATTATTACCAAAAAGCATTAAATCATCACAAACTGAAATTATTCATACAGGTTTCCTCTAAACTTTCGACAAAAAAATATTAATTCGTGATCCGTGAGTCAACTGCAAAAAATTCATTTATGATTTCGGTGCAAATTTATGTCGAACATTAGTAATTTTTTTCTGATACCCGATTTTCGTTCCTTAAATAATGCTTTTTATGTAAACCCATTCAACACCAACATATTTTAATACATAATATTTATCCAAATAGTTTGTTTTTTACATAATTTTTTCACATGATTTTCACTTTTATTTGACGCCATTTTCTGCAGATCGTTTGCAGTTGACTCGTGGATCACATGAATTAAACAATCTTATAGAATATTCTAAATTACCAATGATTTCACACTTCTATGGACATCTAATGTAATGATGAGGCATAAATTTCTATGTTGTCAATCGAAACATATTGAATAGTTATTGAATAAATCCATTATTAACCTGCAACTTCTGCACCTCAAAACACTATTATTTTCGTATGATAAATGATATATGTATGTCATTTCATGTTACATATTCCAAATTACATCATCAGAAAACACTAAAATAATTTTTTCGGCAGCGAGTTTAATATCCTGTTTATATTAATAAAAAAATTTTTTAAAGATTTCATAAGAATAATTCTAATTGGATCATATTTTTTTTTCTATCCAAGAATAACTTTCGTTTAAATTATTAAATAAAAGTTATTCCATTTTAAATTTACTTTATTTAGCTATATTCGATTTTTAATATTTTTGAAAGATTGTCGTAATTATTATTGAAGTGTAGTAAAATACTTTATATCGAATGATTATCGATATTATACTTTCAATTTAGGGATACAAATCATTTCAAATTTGCAAAAATTTCCTTAGTCAAATATTTATTAGAAGATCTATGATATGTTGATATCTAAGAAATAAATATGGATATAGCACTCAGTTTTTAATAAATTTAATAAATTAAATTTAGATATATTATTAAAATTTTATTAATTTTATTGTAAAATGTTAAATTTTGGAAATCATACTTTTATTGTATGACGGATGATTTAAGAACTAGAGGTTTGAAGGTTTGAACCGGTTAAGACCGGTTAAGACATCGGTTAACCGGTTAAAACTATTTTGACCATAAATCCGTAATTCTGGTCAGATTTAGTTAATGCGGCTCAGAGACTTGGTAATTTCAGTCATGTGTTCCCAAACTCGAAGTTTTAATACCAAATTTTTTCCTATTTATTAATAATGGTATTGATGAAAAATATTCTTCTTTCAACTAAATGTGTTAGTAAAATCAAAAATCGGAGCAAAAAATTTTTATATTAACCGGTTAATTAACCGGTTAAGGTTTTTTTGGACGGTTCCAACCTCTATTAAGAACTTGCTTTGTTAATCATTATTTAAATTGTTGCACAGAATATGAAAGTTAATTATAAGGTAAACTATTTATAAATTAGGGTTAATTACTTCCTTATTCCTTTCGTTAACGATTTAAAATTTATTAAAAATGGATGATGATAATTTTTTACCAAAATTATCACATAATTTACTTGAAATTTTAAATGATGAAGAATATTATGATATTACTATTGAAGTTGGTAATGATCCTGACGTAAAAATTTTCCGTTCTCACATTATTATTTTATATTATCGTTCTCCTTATTTACGAAGAATATTGTCAACGAATAAAAAGAAAAATAATGGAACTTTGACACATATTAAATTACCAAATATTTTACCAGAGATATTTCCAATAATTTTAAGGTACGAACTTAAATGGTTTTTATTTTTTCTTAATACACACTGTAAATGATTGATATTTTGCAAATACTGAATAGATGATTTTTTTTTGTAGATATATTTATGGAGGAAGACTCTCTTTGAAAGAATATGATACCTTGGACATAATTAATGTAATGATTGCTGCTAGTGAACTTAGTTTACAAGAATTAATCGTATATTTGCAATCATTTTTGGTCAAAAACAAGACAAATTGGATGGAGCAAAATTTTGATTTCGTTTATCAAACAAGTTTCAAAAATGATTCATTCTTGGACCTTCAAAAATATTGTACTGACTTAATTACAAAGGAACCTGATAAAATATTCAAATCTCCAAATTTTTCTTTAATTTCAGAAAAACTTTTAATTACAATTATTCAAAGTGATAATCTTCAAATGAGTGAAATTCAAATTTGGGAATATTTACTTAAATGGGGACTTGCTCAAAATCCGGAACTTCCCACTGACTTTAAAAAATATTCAAAGGATGATTTCAATACTTTAAAGAATACTCCACAACAATGTATTCCATTTATTAGATTTTACAATTTATCTTCCAAAGAATTTATGGATAGTGTATTACCTTATAAAAGAATTTTACCGAAGGAATTATATAAAGATTTATTAAAAACGTTTTTAAGTCTTTTGGACCCTGATAGCAAGTCAAGTGATAAATCAAGGCCTCGTATTAGTTCGAATCAGTCTCAATTCAATCAAATGAACGAATTTGAATTCTTCCCCTTGAAAACAAGTGAAGAAAGTATTATTGCTTCGACAAAGAGAAATGAAATACCAACTACTTCAAGCATCTTTGGACGAGCTGCACTTGGTCGTACTGGAAGTGGAAGCACATTATTACTAACTTCGGAAAGTTCAGGTCATCTTGACATGGTGCAACGTAAAGTTAATGCGTTATTAAATAAATTAACGTTGAAAAATTTTGAATCTTTATCAGATCAAATTATTATTTATGGTAACAAGTCAAGAGGTGAAAGAGATGGACGTATATTAAGAGAAATTATTCGACTAATATTTGAGAGATCTTGTAATGACTCAAAATTTTGTGCAATTTATGCTTATCTTTGTCGTAAGATGATGGAAAGAGTTGACCCTGAAATAGTTGATGAAAGTATCAAAAATACCGATGGTAAATCTGTTCAAGGTGGTACATTATTTAGAAAGTATCTTATTAATCACTGTCAAGAAGATTTTGAGAAAGGTTGGAAAATTAACATCCCATCGTCTTCCAATGAAAGTGATCTGACATCAGACAAATATTATGCGGCTGCAAAAGCTAAAAGAAAAGGTCTGGGTTTAATATGTTTCATTGGTGAAATGTTTAAATTAAACATGCTCACAGAAAATATCATGCATAATTGTATATCGGAATTATCAATATTTAAAGACTCACCTAAAGAAGAAGAAATGGAAAGTTTATGTATATTATTGAATACGGTAGGGAAACAACTTGATCATGTCAAACAAAAACAGATTAAGAAAACAAAAGAAAAAGGTATGAATTCTTATTTCAATCGCTTAGAGAAAATATCAAAGCTTCCAAGTTTGTCAAACCGCATTAAATTTATGTTAATGGTAAATTTTGTTAAATATTTTTGAATTTTTCTTATTATGTTTATTAATAAAATATCTAATAAATTTTTTTTTTTTTTTTTTTTAGGATATTATAAATTTACGAAAAAATGATTGGAATCCTCAACGAAATATTGATGCTTTGATAAATGAGCTGACTTTAGGAATGATTCAGTTATAGACGATCACACAACACAAATTATAAGATATTATAATAAAAATAGCTAAATTATTGAAGGATATAACATAATTAAATGGAAGTTTAATCATTGTACTGCTAAAGACAATTTTATAGTCTTCTAATGAAAAATTACGTTTAAGTCGTGTAGTGGATTAAAGTATGTTGCTATATTAATCATAGTTAGTTATCATGTCCACCTTTAAATGTATAATTAATTAGCTACCTAAAATTAATAAAAAAGTAAACTTCATTGAATATCCTATATAATGATTCTAACCAAATCAGCGATTATTATAAAGTTTACTGAATTAAGTTACAATTCTATAAGGTTACTAAAAAAGATTCTTTGTTATTTATACATATTATTACCACGATTGATTACCACGAAAACTTCTAATTTAATAATTGCATCCAATTTTATCGGATACTTCATATAAATTATATTACGGATCTTATAATACGAAAATTTTATAAAATATAGAATTTGTGTCCGGATACAATAATATTAGAAAACACATTCCTTCAAATTACGCGATAGTGACAATTCAGCTAGCTAATTTCACTAAATAAATGACAGATATAATGTTAAACGTTAAATGACTAATAAATAATTTATATTCTTATCCTGTTCTTCATTTTATCTAATGATGTTGGCGTAAGCTTAAATCAATTATATCCCGGTCTAGTTGGAATAGTAAAATTTTACTTATTCCTAATTAGCCAGGAGATAAGTAATACTTGTTTAACCATATTATTACATACTGTATGTTACCATGAATTTATAATAAAAAATGATTTATTATTTTTTTTTTATTACGTTACGACGAATACATCGAAATGATTTGCATGAATGAATATATATATATTTTTTTTTTGCAAAAAAAGTCATGTTAATGCGATCGGCGCAATATAGAACGAACTTTTTTCCTTTTTCCTTTTGGTTTCTCATTTAATGGTTAAACCAACTAAATTTATTTAATTATTTTTTTCGTTAAACCAGACAATCTATATAATTAAAAATATTAGGAGATATTTAGATTAAGCTCTATATAAGTAATTTGAATTATGTACCTGCGCCTGATTCATTATCATAGTTAGAAAATTTGATTGGCAGTATGGTCATTTGTATGTTCCAATGACCAATCTTGTCGTGCAGTTAATGTTGTTTTCTTATTAATTATTTTCCTTTCCCGTTCTCTTGAAGTGATACAATCGACCGCAGAATATTTTTAATTTTTCCTTGTCGGTATTTTTTTCTAAAATTTTTTTCGATTTTTTTTTTTTTCTTTTTGAAAATTTTTTTTATAAATATTTTAACCTTTTCTTTTTTCGGTTTGGTCCTTTTTTCAAACTAAAAAAAAAAATTTTTCCCCCTGGTTTTGGCTTTTTTAAAAAATTTTTTCTATTCTTTTACCACTTAGGTAATACGGTATTAATGGTATTGATTGACAAGGCTATCTATTTATTACACCAAATTTATTAAACACAAAAATTAGAAAGTACGATAATATTTATTAGTAGAAACATATTATATTGTTTTCTTTTTTTGGTCATGAGGCGTCAAATACTACTCCTTAAGGTCACAAATTTATATGGGCACAACATGAAGTTTGATCAGCAATTTGCATTCATTTTTATTAATTTATTACGGGTTTGAATGAACGAAGTTAAAATAATTCTTTCTCCTCCCTCAATTTATAAATTACATTATGTCCACTCTTCGATATAAATTAATTAACGCAACAAATAAAAGAGCAACAATGTCAATTGATACTAGTATTTACAATGATATACACAAACAATTTGAATTTCGAAAGCAAACAGTCCTTGCTGATAAAATTCTTACAGATGATGAAAAAACTGAAGCAATAAGATTATTGACTAAAAATTATGATCGATATAAAATTAGTTTTAATTCGGGAACAAAAAGAATTTGTGAAAATTGTAACCAAGAATGTTTGGCCACATTATATTGTGAATGTTGTGTACAAAATTATTTAAAAGAAAAATTTTCAAATTGGACATCTGGGAATAATGATATTGACAATTTAATACAGAAATGTCAAATGGAATCACTTAATCCACAAATGATAGTTGAATGGATTCCATATAACAATTTGGAAAATATTAATTATTTAACAAAAGGTAGATTCTCTGAAATCTATACCGCAGACTGGATTAATGGAAATTATGAAGAATGGGATTCTGAAAAAAAAACAATTAAAAGAATTGAAAGACCTGGAATACAAAACATAGTGGCAAAAGTAGTACTTAAAACGTTAGAAAATGTTGAAAGTGCAAATCAAAGTTGGTTTGAAGAGGTTTGTATAATTTTATTTGAAATTTATTTATAAAATCATGTTTTTTATATTAACAATAGTATGTTGTCATTTAGGCTAAATCACATTTAACTATAAGTAATAAATGGGTAGATATTGTTCAATGTTATGGTTTAACACAAAATCCATCAAATGGAAATTATATGCTTGTAATGATGAAAATGGATATAGATTTAAGAAATTATTTACAACAAAATCATAATAAACTTACATGGAAAGATAGAATGAAAATTATTAATCAAATAACTCGTGCGCTTTATTATATTCATTTTGAGAAAGCAATTCATAAAGATTTGCATTCCGGAAATATATTATATTCACAACTTAATGGTCGTTGGTGTATTAGTGATCTTGGATTTTGTGGACCTGCTGATAAATCTTCAACAAGTATATATGGAAGTCTTCCTTACATAGCGCCCGAAGTTATTGTTGGAAAAGAATATACTTTTGCATCTGATATTTATAGTATTGCAATTCTTATGTGGGAAATTTCATCAGGACAACCACCATTTATAAATTATGAAAATGAAAATGATATTGTAATGAATATTATTAACGGTATAAGGCCAAAAATTGTGACAGAAACTCCATTAGAATATAAAAATTTAATGAAAGAATGTTGGGATGCTGATCCATTAAAAAGACCTGACGCTGATGCACTTGATACCAAAATGAATAAAATTAATTTAGATTATCAAAATATACCAGATGAATTATTAAAATCAGAAATAGATAATTTAGAAAGGAATAAGGTAGAAGAAAATTATACGAGTAGCAAATTATTTACAAGTAAAATTCACAACTTTGAAAATCTACCTGAACCAAGAAATGCAACAGAAGGTAATATTTTATTAACGAATGTATTTATTTTAAAATACATTATTAATGATCTTTTTTTGAATTTATATTATAATAGAAGAACAAGAAGGTATAACCAATAATTTCTACCATTTTTTTTGTTACTATAATAATTTACTTTCGTTATTACTACTAATAGCGTTTCATAGTAAATTGTATGATTTTAACATTTCTAACAATAGTAATACCATTTAATGATGTTTAATAATTGATATTTATTTTAGTTAACGAGTTTGATAAATCAAATAAGCAGAATAATAACAAATCATCAAAAATAGTTACCATTTTTAGAGGTAATGTATTTTAATTATTGTTTTTTTGTCAAATCAAGATTGAATTTTTATATTAAATCAATATCTTAAATTTTAGATAGTAATAAAAAATTATCTAAATTATTTAAAAAGTTGCAAATAAATTCAAATGGTAAGAATAGTAATAAATTACTAACAAATAAAATTCATTATTATATTAATTTCATTTATTTATTATTGAACGCGACTTTATTTAAATTTAGATGATGAAAAAGAAATAACTCAACAACAAATAAAAGGGCAAAATATTAATGTCGATGGTAGGTGAAAATTTTACATAATAACGAATAATCCTTATACTATTTTTTAAGTATGTTTATTTTCTTATAGATGATTGACGAAATATATAATAATCCAAATTTTCTTTTAAAAGAACAAGATGAACTGGAAATTCCTGATGATAATTTCTTAAATAAATAAGTTTCTTTTTAAAGCTATTAAAACTAATCAATTCACTAATTTGTTAATTTTTTATCTTTAGATGAATTTTAAACTGACTTTATAAATTAAAACAATATTATATTATATTCCAAATTGTTATCATTTATTTATACTTTATTTTAAGTTATTTAAACACTAAGATTAGAGTAGTTAAAATGTTTAACAAGATTCTTAGTTTGTAATTTAAATAATTACTATATAATAAAGTTATTAAAATTATTAAATCTATAAATTATCAATAAAAAATTTATATTAACTGTTGCAATAACGAATAATTCGAATTTAGGCGAAAATAATAATACTGTATTATGAAAATAAATTTTACATTATTGAATAATATATAATCTTTTGTTCAATCCAAAAACTATGTTCTTTGTCATTATTTATTCTTATCTAACTATTTGAATGATGAGTTTATTGATATTAAAGAGGTGGATGAGAAAGAATTCAGTAAGTAGTTAATTTTACAATTAGGTTATAAATATATTAGTATATTGTATAATGCTTATCATTGACAAATCGAATATACTTTCTTAAATTTGATTTAAAATTTTATCAATAAGATAACATACAGAAGAATTAAAGACTTGAATATACTCACTATTATCCTTTGATCATAATTATAGAGACCTAATATCATTATTTAATTAATTATTACATAATACTAGCAAATCAGTATGTTCAATTTTTGGCTTTACAGACTATCTAGAAAGAAATGTACAACGTATAAAAAACTGGACTATTTTCCCTTTTAATTCCGTGACACTTTCCTCCCACATTGCTACGATACAGCTCTTTCACTGAATTTTCAGTTTGTGATAATTTTACCTGCACAAGATTATATTAATCAAACAATTCACGGATTAATTTTAACAGTAAGACAAAAATAACATACATTGAGTTCCTTTAATATGCAATATATATCTTCAAAAAACTCACATTCATCTTCTTGAGATGGTAATATGCAGTGGTCAAGTAAGCCGAACCTATACAGACCTCCGAACCAGTTCATCGCATAAAAGCTCAATTCAAACCCTGTGTTGAATGAACTGTATCAATTAGTAAGCCTGATAAACAATCTGTATATTAGGTTTATGTGAAAGTGAACATACCCACTTGGAGCCATCCATAGACTACCAAACTTTTCCTTTGATCGTCATCTACATGTCGACATCCTTTCAAATCATAATACCAAGCTTCACTTCGTCAAAATTTTTTCACGAGATGAAGAAGAAACGCCTAGCTAATGATGTCATACCACCAGATACTTCGTTTCAAATTTATTTGGAGTATTTTTTATCGTTCCCTTCATATCGACTTTTCGTCCTAAACGTGTTCTTTGGAAAGGGTTCAAGTTTTCGTTTCTTGCATTTTCCGTACCATATTCGCCCCTATCCATAAAAATATTTTAATTTTTTCTATTATCCTGCTATGAGACAAATACACCATAACTTACCATGAATCATTGATTGCATTTAATTAAAGGATAGAGCGGAAAAGTGGGAAATGTCGAAATCATCTTCAACTCTTCCTCAGTCATGGAGTTATTAAACGAGTGCATATTTTCTTTTCTTTGTAATAGAAGTAAAACGCCTCGTTAAACAATTTTAGAGAATATTGCATAGACACTTTACAATGTTATCATTTTGAAAACGGTAATTCAGTGTAATCATAAGAGACTTATATTATGAGTGAGTTAAGTATTATATGGAGAGAAGCACGAATGTACAGGTTTGGAAAAGTAGGAAAATTTTCTCTGATGATATATATTTGACTCGAGTTAATCATAAATCATGATCAACTATAGTGCTCCTACCGGGTCAAGTCGGGTCGGGTTTTGAGGAAATATTCGACCCGATCTGAATAAAAAAATATAAGACTCGTATTTATTCGGGTCTCATATTTTCGTAACCTGACCCTTGACTCGACCGAGTATAATTTAACTCGTGTAACCTGGGTTAGACCCGAACATTTAAGTAAAATGGGTACTAACTTATCAGTTATATTATGTGAGATTTTCTTATAATAATAACAAAATTAATTTTTTTTATTTGAAAAAAAGGCAACTTAGTGATTAACCACTAGTAGCCACCTGAAATTTGTATCATGAATGGTTATACAAAACATGTAACACTAGCTCTTATTTTCTCCTAGACCTGTCTCTTATACACATCNAAAATTAAAAATACGAATTTTGAACCTGGTTTAATATAATAAAAGTCAAAGAATTAGGCAAAATAATTAGCAGATATTCAAATCAAAGATAAATTGGAATTCTAAAGCTATCAGAAAAATATTATTCTCTAAAGCCAAAGGTTAATTTTTTTATTTTTCTGATTAAGCTATGTTAATATTTGTTAAAACTAATTCTTGGCTTAATTTTGGCCAAAATTATAATTTTCCCAGAATTAAAAACATCCGGGTCGATCCGGGTCAAACCCGGGTCAAGGAAATTTATAACCCGACCTGGCGGGTCAGGTCATGCGGGTCATGCGGATCACGGGTCATTAAAAATCGTTAGTACCGACCCGATTTAAAAGTCGAGTCGGATCAAATTAACCCGGGTTGACTCGTATCATTCGGAGCACTAATCAACTATATTTTGATAAATTATAGATTAATCCTTTAATAAGTTTTCTTGTGTGGCGCAATTGATATTAAATCAAATAGTTTGTATACTGTATGTTTACTATGGATTACATAATATTTATTAATATAATCATAATGAGTCACATTTTCATGTGTATTAAAGATTTTTTCTGCGTTTCATGTGTAAACCCGTGGGAAACTGGAAGATTAGACTATCTGAGTTGATTTTATTTAATAGGCGCGAAAAACTGATTATTTTTCGCGTTTTCGTGTATTTATTTATAAAAAGTTTGTACAACAAAAAAATATATAAAAAGGTCTTAAATATCCAAATAATTTTTTCAATACGAAAAAATTTTATGAAATAAATTTTTATGATACGAAAAATTTTATGAAATAAATTTTTATGATACGAAAAATTTTACAAAATAAATTTTTATTATACAAAAATTCAACTTCACCCAAATGCCACGACATAAGAAATCGTCTAAAGGACAATCCCAGGATAATCTGATAGCTATTTACAATAGAGGTCTAGCTTATCAAAACTTTAGGGCATTATGTGGTACGTATAAATTAACTAGTTTGCCGGATGGACGTATGAGTAGGTGCGCACTGCAGGGTTCACGCCTCGCATGAGACATGCTTGGTGCATTCAAGGTTACAGCTGAAAGTCTTCCGGATGGTAAACTGTTTGCTGGATGGACGTATGAGTAGGTGCGCACCGCAGGGTTCACGCCTCGCATGAGACATGCTTGGTGCATCCAAGGTTACAGCTGAAAGTCTTCCGGATAGTAAACTGTTATAGTCAGGTTGATAGTTTGCCATTCCAGTTGTATAGATTTGGTGAACTCTCAATGATGACATATGTATACTGGTGGCTGCAGACACTTATGAATATTTGTTAATTATAGGTAATACTAATAATGACGGTGAGGGTGTACCAGATGCACCACCACCTACATATGAGCAGACCATAGAGGATATGGAATGGAGGGCTAGTTTTGGGGTCTCAAGTGGAAGAGTTATTTTTGTAATAACCTAAGGTATTGTGGTGCAGCGTTTTATAGTAAGGATTCTATAAGGTACCATGTGTGTGGGGATAAATATATACTTACAAAGAATGGAAAATATTATAATAGATAGTATTATTTGTTATTTCTTATTCATTTTTCCCTTTCCCTTCCCCCCGATCAATGTTGCTGCACCTCAACATAACGTGGCGATCAGGTGACAACAAGATTTTATTTAAAAGACTTTGCTAAGTCAACAACAAATATTACATAACTGATAAGTCATAAATCGATTTGTTCACTTTATTAATTTATTAATTGATTTCATATAAACATAACTAAATAAATAATTTGTGCAAAGCTTTTCCATAATAACATTCTTAAAATTATCACGTTGAAGAAATTTTTAACATTCAAATTTAAACAACAATTTTCTAAAATCCTCTTTTTTTTTTGTAACACTGAATTTGCTATTTTTCGTGAGTAAATAAACGCAACAGACTTTAACGGTTACCGTTTTCCAAGTTGCGATCACCTAGATTTTCATGTGACTACTGCGCCACAGCATAGGTAATAGTGACATAATTTACAACTACTTTTTGATGTGGTATAATATTTTTTTTATATTGAATATATATAGCTAAAACATTTATATACAAGTAAAATTTTATATGACCATTGTGCATTACATAGTAATTGTAAGCTTTGTTTTTAATTATATGAAGAGACATAAGTTAATAGAGTGAGAACGATCACTTTAATCAGAATTCAAGTCAAAGTACAAGATAAAAGAAATGTCTGTAATTTTTACTAAAAGCACACAAAGCAATTAGTATGATCACGTAACCTCAATTTTGACTTGATTACACGAGTGCCAATCCAAATTGCAAATATCTTTTTCATATAATAATAATTATTATTCAGTTATAATATCACGTAAATCCTTTATTATTGTTACATAAATACGTCTTTCACAATACCTTAAACGTTATTGATGTAAAGGATTATAATAATTTTGTACCTTACATAATTATAGTAATGATTGTGCACGCAATCTACTGATTGCTGTATTAAGGGAGTTATAATAATAATTGTAATAAAAAGGTAGTTTGATCGTATAAAGGTGCTTGGTTATATTCTTCTTGTTACAGCTGTTGCATTTTTATCTCCTTCGGATCGTAAGCTTGCTAATATTATTAATGCTTCTTCATCACGATCTTTGAACAACTAACCAATGTGGTGAAAATGGAATAAAAAAATGGTCCTATAATAACTTTTAAATGAGAAAATACATAGCACAATGATAAGAAAAAAACAACCTTCAAGTATGTGATTAAAAGAGAAGAATATAAAAATCATTATTTATTAACTAAGAAT